ACCCCAGCGCACAGACAGTGAACTCAACTCAGCCGCCAGGCTTTCTGATGGACAGTTTCTCTGGAGAAATACTGAAACCACTAAATCAACTAAGTTTAGACCATTAGTGATTTTTTAAAATTCTATAGCTGTTACTATCGATTAAAAATTTGGCTACGTTGCAGTGAGCCTCTTGATTCTGTCTGATTCTATAAAAAGAACCATGAACTCTTTGGGGCCACCTAATGCCATTCAGTAAATGACTCTTAGGGCTCTGTGCCTAGAATTGTATCCATGTTGCATTTAATTTTGGTCCCAAATGCTTAGCTCTCATCTTGGGGGAGACGTACTTACCTGAATCTAACTGATTACATACAGGTTCTGGCAAAAGTAGGTTCACTGTTGCTCATATGGAAAGCAAAACAACAATTAGTAAATGATAATCCAAGAATAAACTCTGTTTCACGTACTCACAGCTGTAAACCTACTTTTGCCTCACCCTGTATTATAACAGTTCTGGGGCGAGTGTTACAACAAAACGTGTAAAGGAGTTTGCTTTGAATCTCACTACTTAACAATAGGGATGCTCTTTTAGAAATCTTCAAAAGGAAGACTTGTGGGTGGTTGTCAACACCAGACCTTTGTTTGAAATAGCTAGGCAGGTAGAGTCACACCTGTGTTTGGGTGGGTTCTAGGAGTGGTGGCGAGTCGAGGTAATTCTAGATCAGCCTAGAGAGAGGAGAGCCCTCGTTCAGCCAGCCTGCTCACATCCACGGTCAGTCTTGTTTCTCCTCCCTCAGGAGCAGAGCTGCTTCCGCCCTTGAATGGACAGTGAGTTGGTGTTACCCTCTGAGAACCAGAATTTAAATTGTACCTCAGTGTGATGCGTGATGCAGTCGTGCCCAGATCTGCACGTGAAACATTTTGTAGAAACTGACAAGAGCTAGTTAACAAATTTTTCCCGTGACCTTTGGATTTGTTCTTTCCTTCTGTGCCACAGGTCTGATCATAGTAGTTATAATAGGAAAGAAATAAGGTTCAGAACTCGAAAAGATTGCAAGAATACTGTGTGTGCATGTTTTCTTTTTATCTAATTTAGACCGTGAAAACAGATACTTTTCAATCTAGCAATAATGTGCATCTGTGCATGTGCATTTTAAAATGTGCTTTTAAAAGGAGACTTTTCAGAGTGGAAAATGGCAACATATCACACATTTAGAAGCCTGGGCCATAGCCAGCCCAGAGAAACGTGGGAAGGATGCCCACTCTTGTTGATTCCCATTCCCTCCCGACACTGTCAAGAAACTTTGGTTTGGGGTATCAGAATGCCAGATGGGTATACCCCCCACACCCCAGATTAGAAGTTGAAGGGAGATGGGAAAGAAATATTAGGATACCTGCACCCAAAGCCAACCACACTGTTTTGTTCATGACTCTGTGCTGTTACTTCAACTATCTTAGCAGGTATGATAAATTGGCTCAATGAACACCAATTACACACTCCTTCCTTCTCTTCCTTTACTCTAGAAGTGAGAAAACAAAAATACTGAATTTCCCAGCCTCTTTCACAGCCAGGGTTGTGCGTGATCTATAATTCTGGCCAAAGAGATGTGAGTGAAACCTCTGGGAGGCTTCTCTTCCCTTATTTTCCTTCCTCTTCCTCCTTGAGACTGTGGGCATGATAAATGGAAGTGCAGTAGCTATCTTGAGACCGTGAGGATAAAAGCCAAATGCTAAGGGCGGCTGAGAAGGCATACAGAAAAGGACCTATTTATTTGATGATATCCTTGGCACCTCCATCAGCTCTGCGTTTCCAACATCTAGAATTCTTATTACGTGAGAAAAATAAACCATTTTCTCGTTTAAGTGACTATTTGTAGCTTTAAATGTTATTGTACTGTTACTGCTGTTGAACACAGTCTTGAGTGATATTCATTTCCTTTTTACATGGTAGAGCAGACTGGCCTGTTTGTCAATTTGTAGGAGGCATGTAATAAATATAGTATCCCATTTCCTCTGTATTATTGCATCTATTTTAGACTTGTCTCTGTCCCATCCTGTTTTAAATAAAAGCAAAAGTTGGAATGCAGCTTAGCATTAATGGTGTCACTCTAACATCATTTCAGTAAGTTTGTGTGTCACCTGCGTTGCTGGGTGCTTTGAGTATAATGGTGAGTGGGATGAGAGCCTTGCTTTTAGGGGTCTTGTGGGCGAGTTGGGGAGACCACACATACATGTACACTGGTTGAGTGCTTGGGTAAAAGTCCATGGTGCTGTGGGAATGCAGAGAAGGGGTATGAGCCAGTTAGCTTTTACTATATAACAAACTACTCCAAACTCAGTGGTTTAGAACAGCCACTGTTTCCTTACCTCAAGAGTCTGCAGGTCACCACCTTGGGCTGCTGGCAGCTGGGCACTTCCGGCCTCAGCAGGGCTCACTCGTGCTGAGTTGGCGAGGTGTGGGCGGTCTCGGCTGGCCTCACCCATCCAGGGCGGTTTGTAGTCTGTCCTTTAGCATGAGCTAGTTCTGAGTCCAAGATCTCTACTCCTTCTGAACTCCAGTGACACAACTTTTAAGTTAGCATTTGTGCCCTTTGTTATAATTATTTTTCCTTTATATCCGATGGAAAGCTCCATGAGGATCTAACTCCCCAAGATGAATATTATTGGGATGATAAGGGTTTGATTTTGTTGAATGAATAAGTAAAGGCTTAAATGAATTACACTTTGTCTATGTACAGATCTTATTCCCTTAGTTATGTGGTGTTGCCTGCTGGAGACTTTTCTTTGTTAGAAAGATTTATACACTGAGGGCAACAGGCCACCAAGGTGGTAATATGGAACATAAATAAAAACCAAAATTTTAAGTTGAGAAAGTATATGCTAAGTTTGCAGGCAACACAGGAGCAGGTATTTGTGTGACATCCCAGGAGAAAGTTTGGCAGAATGCAATAATTTTACCTGCGTTTGGCATTACACAGCAGAGGGGAGCTCACCAATTTATATCATGGGGGAACTCTTGCCTTTGTTCATCATTCTTGTTAGAAAGCTTAATATTTGTTACTGATCATTTCGAATTTGTACCCAGAATCGAATCGCCCAAATTAGTTCTCTTTCTTTGAAATGATTTTCTTTTGATGTTGATCTTCCTCTGCAAAATCACTTAACAGGTCTCACAGCTTTCCGGCCTATCAAACTGGATGCCTACAGCAACTATGGCAGAGATAAGAGCTCTAGTATCACCCCCATTTTACAGGTTAGGAACACTGGAAAGGAAACGGGGGAGGTTGGAGGACCTAGTAAGGTCACTGAACAGAACCACAAGGCACATCTTTCAACCTAGCGCTGGCTCTGTCTGGACATTACAGTTTCAATGCTTAAAATAATTGGAAGTGTTAATCAAGATGTAATTGCTTTGCCAGCATGTTAATAGGTAGTTCAGTAACATAACACTCACTTGACAGTTCATCATAGTCATGTGGGGAGTTTCTCATCAGGGTCAGTAGCGACTAGTAAGCGCCTTTTTACTGCCCTCTTTGTTAGAAGGGTTCAAAGCAAAGCTTAAACCAAACATGGCAAAAGAGCCTTCTTGGCTGGTGTATGTTTTAAAGGAAAGCAAAATCTTGTAAGTGGAACTGATAGGAAGGTATGACACAGCCTAGAGTTAAAATACCTGAGAAGACAAATGGCTTTTTGATCTCTTGAGACCTACAGATGAATTAAAACCCCTCCGTATATAGACCAGTGCAGCTGATCACTCAAATTGCGATTTTAAAAAAATGCAGAAGCAGGACACTTAGAATATTGTCTTCATGTCAGAAATGCACCTTTGTGCTTGAAAATGATAAAAAATTACAATCGATCCTTACAACTGTTCTGTTCATCTTTATTGATCAGGTGCAAGAAAGATAAATCGCAGCCCAAATAAGATTATAGTAAATGTTAGCATCGGAGGGAACTGGAGGTTGATAGAGAGCCATTCATCATCTCAAATGGTGACCTGTCCATTCTGCAGCCACCCCGAGTCGGCTGTCTAATCACATACCTATTGATTTTATCTACATCCAACCAACCTGGATGTGACTGTCATTGGACAACCCAGATTGTTAAATGCAAAGGGGTCACTGGTGTGAAGAGGATTTCATTTTCATTTTCTCACCAACCAACAATGATTTATGAAAAAATAAACTACCCCCAGTCATGCATGTGAAGCCTGAGTGATTAGAGAGTGAAGGTGCACAATAGACCGCTGCACTGTGTTCGTTTGTACTGCCGTGCCTTTTGCAGGATATTTCATTGAGTCTGAAGGCTCCTGGGGTCATCGAGGCCACCCCCTGCAGACAGGCTGCAAAGTAGCCAGCCAGAGTGGATAATTTTTAATCTTGCTTCCCCAGGAAAGGCGTTACTTTGCTATTACAACTTGATTTATGTTGCTTATGTGTTCATTCATGGAATAATGGAAACATGTTTTGGTATAAAAATTATGTCAATCCGTCCCTTCATTCTTACTGATTAATTTGTTATAAATGTTGATGCTCTTGTGGTCACCTGGAGGTGATTGAACACATTCTACTCCATAGAGAATCCATCTTGAAGACACAAATACAGTGTAAAAGGAAATGATCTTTAATATCCCAGGTGGAACACTGGAATAATAGGCCAGCGTGATAGGCGTGAATTTCATTATTCAGTCTCAAGCATCTTTTGATCTTACAGTGATCGATTCCAAATAAGGGAGAACTAAATAATCCTTCAAACCTATGTTAGGAGTCTTATCAGAGGGATCAAATAATGATGAATTATAACTATGAGAGTTTACTCTGTAATTTCAGCCTAGATACCCGCAACTGGATACTGGTACATGGAATTTTATAAGAGTCCATTCCACTTGTGCAAGAAGTCTTTCTCCTACTGCTTGAGTGGCTGAAGCAAGAGCTCATGTATTTTTTTGTCATTGTACATCTTGCACACGTTTTGTCCTCTTGAAAAGTGAAAACTCTGCTATCAATCTTTATCCACAGAGCTCAGAGTTCTACAAAGTCACCACTGAACAATATCAGAAAGCTGCTGAGGAGGTGGAAGCAAAGTTCAAGTAAGTTTTTTAAAGTATTATAATTACTCTTCTTGACAAGATGAAAGGACAACTTCATTGCTTTTTGAATAGGAGATCGTTTGGTGTGTAGCCCTCTGGATAACTTGGAAGTAGGTGGGTTGAAATAGACCCCTGTTATCTGCTGTAGTGGAATCCAAATGCAAGGACAAGACATTTGATAAAAGCTTGTTACCAACTCGATTTTTATGAACTAAGGGGAAATAGAAAGCCATAGTAATAGAATTTTCTTTGCAGTGATATATGATAGGCTACCCTTGTTAATGAAGGCAATATTAAATTGCCATTTCTATTAATAAAAACATGGAAAGCATTCACTTTTGCATAATAAAATGATGAGCATGTCCAAATTGGTGTATCCCCTTTTCTCATGTTTAAGCTGTTTCATTTCTTCACATGTACCTTGAAAGCATTTAAATCACAGACTTTACCTTACCCTTGATTATGAAGGGGATGTTAAATTGCTACCTCTATTAAGGTTCTGTAATTGATGGATCAAAGTGTCTGTGACCCATAGCTCTGTATTTTTCCTCTGCTGCCAGGTTTCACATTAAGTAAGAAGGCATCATTCAGAATTTTCCCTAGTGTGTAACTAGTGGTATTGTGTAACCTCTGTTGGTAGCAAAGCAAAAAAAAAAAAGGTGTTGTGACAGGTTTAGTTGAAAGATGGCATTGGGCTCTGACCTCCTTCCTTGCGCATGTTTCTGAGAATTTGATAAAATGATTAAACCACAAACTGGAACGTTATTGCTTTTTGCTATCATGTAATTTGTGTGATAATGGATATTAGTGTTATTTTAATATTGATTAAAAATGTTTTTTAAAGATGGTTTGAGGTATATTTAAATACACAGAAACCTCCATTCGTCATTAGTGAATTATTTAGGGGCTGGAGGAAGAGACCTTCTAAGAATGGCGCATAAATCACACTCTTAAAGGGTTAATGTGCTATTTTAAGAATTTAGACATAGAATTGCATGTAGACTTGATTTTAGAAGGTGCACCATACAGGTATTTTTATGATTATATCTTCCCCCCTAATGATAAAGCAACATTTTTTAACCCTTTTGTCTCAATACTATGAGAACCTTTGACTTGGTACCCTGGCTGTTTCCTCAATACAAGATAATAGTTATACAAATAACAAAAACGTGAGGTAAATCAAAGGAAATCACTTCTGACTAGGATGATCTAGGAAGTCATCATAAAGAAGATGTTTTAGATGAGGCTTGAAAGGAAAGGAAAGGTATTCAGAAGAAAAATCCACAGTTAATGGGGATCTTAGATAAGATCCTCACAAGATAAAGTTGGGAAGGTTGATAGGGTCATTCATTAGTTGTTGGGCTAAGAAGTGGGTCTTAATTTAGCAAGAAGTCTTTGACCAGGTGAGTACCTTGAAATCTGTGCTTTTTTAGGAATATTAGTGAATGTGAGCTTTGATTAGAGGCATGAGAAACAAGAGCGGGAAGTACTAGATGAGAGAGACTAATGTAAAAAAACTCATTGAAAGATTAGACATGAATCAGTGATTGATTGGTGAGTTTGCTAGGGCTGCCATAGCCAAGTACTGCAGGCTGAGTGGCTTAAACAATGGACTTTACTTCCTCACAGTCTGGGGGTAGCATTTCAAGGTCAAGGTGCCAGCAGGTTGGTTTGTTCTAAGGCTTCTCTCCTTGGCAGGTAGATGGCTCTTTCCTCCTTGTCTTCACATGGTCTTCCCTCTCTGCACCGTCTCCTAATTGCCCTCTCTTTTTATAAATCCCATTTGATTAGGGTTCATTCTATTGACTTCATTTTAACTTAATGACCTTCATCCAAATATGCTTTCTAGCATACCATGCATCAGGACTTCAATGTATGAATTGAGGGGGAGGGGACATAGTTCAGCCCATTCACCTGGAGAGAAGGGGCAAAGGAGAGTCTAGCTGGATTTTCAGAGAGAGGTAAAACTGGTTTCAGTGGAGAAGACACTCTTCTCCCATGTCATTTACGCTGGGCTCCTGCTGGAGAATGAAAAGCTGCATGGCACACAAAAATAATGTCATGAGGACTTACCTTCTGCAAGACAACATGGCCTGTTGGTTAGACTTAGTTTCAAGCAGAGCCTCAACAGCATTCTCTCTTATCTTTATAACAGATTATTCTTTATTATGTCCTACTCTCCTAGCATAGTGAAGAATTTAGCCTTTTCCAAAGAAGGTCTTAGTACCCAGTTCCTGGGAGGTAACCTATAAAACCTTGGAATTTCCCAAGTGATAGAAGTGTCTTCTTATTCCTGATGGGCCCCTCAGGCCATGTGCTGTCAGCCTGGCCTCTGGGGTATTGCTGTTGGAGACTGAATTCAATCATGTGGGCAGTCAATTTAATAAGCCTATGTTACAGAGGCCCGAATGAAAGACACTGAAGGGTAGTTGAACTTCTCTTGCTGATGCTATGCTGCATATTGTCAGGCCTCCATACCAGGAAGATAGGGACTCTTTGGAACAATGGAAACTGCTTTTGGAACCCTCCCAGACTCTGTCCTCTGTATCTCTTCCCTTGGTTATTTCTCTGTATCATTTTCCCTAAGTCATAACTGTGCATTGAATGGCTTTCTGTGAGATCTGTGAATCCTCTTAGCCAGTAGTCGAAGGTTAGGGTGGTTTGGGGAACCCCTTGAATTTGCAGATGATGTAAGAAGTGTGAACAGCCCTGGCTGGTTTGGCTTAGTGGGATAGAGTGAGGGCACGTGTCCGGGTAGCGGGCTCAATCCCTTCTCTCTCATCATTGATGTTTTTGTCTCTACCTCTTTCTTCCTCTCTGGAATCAATTTAAAAAAAATACTTTTAAAAAAAGTGAGAACAGTTGGGGACCGTACCCTCAGACTTTGTAGTTGGCTAACTCTAATACAAACAAAAACCCAGGTTTTATATACTATGAAGGACTTTTAAGAGCCAGTTTGCAGAGTAGCTTTCATTATATAAGTGTTTTTCCAGCTTCTGCCTGCTAGACTGAGCTTCCTAGAATATTGTATTTTGATTTGCAGTGATTTCACTAGCTTCACACCTAGGAAGTGGTGCTGCTTGAGCTGAAAAGATGTATCTATGCTCTTCGAAGGCACAGAGTTTGCTCAGGGAACTATGTTTCTCCTCAGAAAGTTGGCCATCTCAGATAACCATCTCAGATCACCGCGACAAGGTCAGTCTCTCACAGGGCAGTGTACTGGAGTCCGTCCACTCACTGCATGACTGCAGCAGTTCCTCTGAGGGGCGAGCTCGGAAGGACTTTGAGGAGGATTTAGTTCAGCTTTTTCTGATGGAGGGGTTCATTTGGGTGCATCTTGATTACAGGAGTTGGAAGCTTTTTAAATTGCAACTATAAGGGTGATGTTATACATCTGATCAGGGGTCACACAAAATCTCTGTAAAGAGCAAGAAAGCTGGGAGCACTTGAGGATGTGCATGGTGAACCCCAGTCACATTGATGCATCCTGCCGAAAGCTAATGGAGTTATTCTAGGGATGCTTAAATATTGACTCACACTCAGACCTCCGTGTATAGCTTTGGCAGTAAACCATTGAAACACTGTAGATTTAAGGGGATTTTTTTCCTGCTTTATCAGTACCTCATTCCTTCTTAGAGCTCCTGTGTGTCTCGTTCTCTGCCGAGTCCTGAATGCACAGCTGTGAGGAGTCAGGACGCCTTGCTAGCAGGGAACGTCGAGTTCACCAGCGGGAAAAAGAGGAAGGTGGAGTTTAAACAGAGCATTTTATAGACACAAAGTTAGGTCTGCTGTGATGGGCTAATTACATCCCTAATATTTACCTTTTTCCCCCAGGGGGAATTAAACAATTTGGAGATAAAGAATCTGTGCTGTTGATTTGCCTGCAAGAACTTTTTGCCCATAGTAGCTTTAAAATTTTAGCTTATAAGACTCAAAATTACTGAGCAAATCCAGCATATTTTACATCTAATTTTTATTCAACAGTTAACCTTTTCCTTTCCCAATCCAACCAGAACAGTATTTATTAGCACTTTATATCACCTTTACCACCCTTTGTTATTATCTGTTAATTAGAGCAACTTATGGTGCTAGTTACTCGTTACGGTGATGGTGTCAGGTTATAGCTCAGCCTTCTGAAAATTATGTTCTGTATTAATCCTTATTTTCTACCTTATAGGTGATTAATAAATAAAATGTCATAATGATGTTACATTGATAGTGCTTAGCACGGTCTTGCACAGGTAAATGCCCAATAAATATTAGATTATTTTTATTATATTACATATTATAGGATAATATTCAGTTATATTATTTCATTATATCCAACTCAACTTATGAAACTATGTACCATAGGAGAAATTTCTGTATTTGTTTCCAAACAAAATCTAGAAGGTGTTGGCCCGCCCCCTCTCCCCCTGAAACAACAATGACACAACGTTAGAAAGAGTGCTCATCCTTAGGGAGCTCACAGTCCAGGGGGTGACAGCACCTGCAGCACTCCTGACAGGATGGCACTGTGCGGCGTGTGTCACAGCAGGATGGACAGTGCCCGGCCTGCTTCCTGGGCCGCCTCAGAACCCCCTCTCTGTTTGGAGTAGAGCCAGCACCACGCCTGCAACAGGCAGTGTTGTCACCAGTGTTACATGCATGCAATTTTTAAATTTTTTTATTGAAGAGTTTTATTCTGTCTCAGAGCAAAAACCTTGCTTTAATACTGTAAGGTGCATTGCAGGTGTGCCATGCCCCAAGTTGTTATTGAGGCACCAAATGCCGTAGTTGGTGACCAGAGGGCTTGGAAAAATGCATGAATTTTTACCATTTAGAGCAGGTAACACTGATATTTACAGGTTCTCTTGTTGAAACAGGCCCAGGGCATCTCAGGCGGTACATAACTACTGCCATAGCACTTGTTTTGATGTTCATGTGCCTCAGAAATGTGTTCAATGTCATGATTTTGTGGGTCCTCCAAAGGTTTTGTTGTTAACATGCAAGTAAACAATATTAAACAACATTCTCTAAATTATGGCTGCCAAGTACTGAAACTTAGTAATGAAATCAAATTACAAAAAAAATTTCATGTGGAGCTGTACAAAATTCGTAAAATTAAAAATTTATAAAAACCAATATTAACTAAATATAAGGCAATATCAAAGGAGTGTGGAATTTTTTTTAAAGTATATTTTATTGATTTTTTACAGAGAGGAAGGGAGAGGAATAGAGAGCTAAAAACATTGATGAGAGAGAAACATCCATCAGCTGCCTCCTGACCACCCTCTACTGGGGATGTGCCCGCAACCAAGGTACATGCCCTTGATCAGAATTGAACCTGGCAACCTTCAGTCCACAGGCTGACGCTCTATCCACTAAGCCAAACCGGTCAGGGCAGGAGTGTGGAATATTTTAAAGGCAGTGTAAACCTTGTGAAGACAATGTAATATCAAACAAATGAAAAGCATTATAAAGACACTTTGTATTCATTCCCATGCTGTTCTTTAGGCCAGTTTCTACCTTTCAGATGGGAAAAAAAAAATACATTCTGGGAAGTGGCGTGGTGCTTTCATTAGAGGTACATGTTTCCACGTGGCTTCTGTTTCTCCGAAGGATGAAGCGCTTGGAAAGCAGTGTGGTTCTATGCAATCGTAGGTGGAAGGCTGGGGACATTCCTGTGTGCCAGGTTATAGAAGGCACTTTCACGTTCATCTGTGAACAAAGTGGTCGAAAATCTGACTTAAAATTGTACGTTCTAGGCTATCCTTATAAGGCCTTAAAAGATTAATTACCCTGTGGAAGAAGTTTAGGCATTTTATACTATCTGAGGAATGCTATGCAAAACTCCTACAGATAAAATGGATTTTGTAAGTATTATATACATTCAAAAGCTTTCCTTAAACTGTAAAAGTCTTGGTGTTACTAGAATTTAACTTTGGCAATACTGTTTTGTTTCTCTTTTGGGTGTGTGATTGTAATAGCTGTGCAGTAACTCCTCACTTAGCATCACTGATAGGTTCTCGGACTTTAAGCGAAATACTGTATAACAAAACCGATTTTTACCATAGGCTAATTGATAAAAATGAGAGTTAAGTTCCCATGGCATATTTCTGGTCACCAAACTTCTAAAACTAAAAACAAAACCAACCTTCTAAAGACCCCAAACACTTCTAATATTAAACATTTCAAATAAATGTGACCTGTGCATTTAAGAAAGATGAATAAACACACACGTAAGATAATGTTTTCCAACCTGTTGATTCCAGCTCAGGGTTGTGGGTGGCCAGAGCCCATCCTGGCAGCGCAGGGTGCAGATTGGGACCCAGCCCTGGATGGGATGCCCTTCCATGCGGGGCGCTCACTTTCCCCACCCCCAGTGACTCAACACTGGTCCCCCTCGAACCTCACATGCACATCTCAGGGATGTGGGAGGAAACCAGAGTCCCCGGAGAAAACCCACAGAGACGTGGGGAGAAGGTACAAACTCCACACTGACAGTGGTTCCAACCTGGAATCCATTTTTCCCCCCTCATTATTATAACAAAAAGACTGTGAAGGAAGTGCCACTATTCGAGGGCCAACTGTACTACAAATGAATTAGTGAAGCTGAGGGTGACACGCCAACGGTATCAGCAGGTGTTTCTCATGTTCTCTATAATTATACATGTGGATCATGGACAATTTTAAGCAACAGTGTTTAAAGATCCTGCTTAATTGGCTGTAAAATAATTAAATAAGCTTTTGACTGGCAAATTTATAATTCTGTTAGATGCATAAACCAGCGTGCCTGCATGTCAATGTGACTTCAGTTTGAAAATATTAGATTAATAGAACTAATTGTACTGCAAGTACAAAGTTTACTCTGATTAATCGTCTCAGAACTCTTCTAGAAGTTTAGGCAAGTAAATTTATGTGACTTACCTTTATGCTTAAACTTTTAATTAAAACTTATTTCAAAAGTTTGAGCTTTTCGGGCTCTTTATGCTTCTCTCTCCAGTTTTTCCAAAGTTGAGCTCCTGAAATTTTTCAGTGACTCCAGCTGCCTTATTGAATATCTTGGCTTATCCAAAAGGATGAAAATTATATTCTGTTGTACATGTATTTGTATGTGTAGCTGACAGGTACCCTGCACATCATCTCTAACACTTATTGATGTCTACTTATAACCTACTTTATGCTGCGTGAATGGCTATGGTATACCAAATGTACATGATAAATGTTTTATCTCTGATTCTCATTGATCAGCTTCTAAATGATCGAATGGTTTATCTCAGTAAGACACTAATTCACATTGATCAGATTCTAAATGACCAAGTTGACTTGGTTTCTGCTGAACACAAATTGTATTAAAACAACATTACTTGAACATGCTGCCTTTTCTAATGCAGGAGTTATGTTACCAGCAGTTACATTATAACTGGAGTTATTGCATTATAAAGATGTCTCCTTCATAATGAAAAGTTTACACAAGGAGAAAAGAATGTGATATTACAGGAGGAACAGGGCTTCGGGCAAGGATTGGGGCTTTTACTAATTAAATTCTACATTTGTACTGGGCCTCTCTTCCTCCTTTTTTAATTTGAAAGACTGCGAGCAGGAACTATAGCAGCTGCAGTGCAGGCATTGTATTCCCTGTGGTCCTTGGAGCCAGGTAGCATCGTGCTTAATTTAGTAAGAGACTTAGTTATTGAAAAGGCAGAATTCTGGGTAAAGTAAACGGACCTATACCCGCCGTGCTTACGCTTGGTTACAATAGCCTATTGAGAAGTTCCGGGCTATTTGTTGTTGTGGTTTTGTTTTTTGAACATCAGCTCACGGATGTCAACTGCTACAGTTTCAGGTACCCTCTAGAGTTGGTCCTGTGTGTTGCTGGAGGAAGATTGTAATTCTGAAAAGGAAAAGCAGTGTTTAGGAGCTAACACTATACTTTGTATAGGAAGCTAATGGCAACGCCACATTCAGCCGAAACATGTCCTGGGTTCTTTAGAACAGTCCCATTCCGGGCAGGTATTTATTACATCGTTGACTTGTCCCTTTCATCTGTAACATGTAAATTGTAACTGCCACTCTCTTGAGGGCATTCAAGCTGAGAAGGTTTAAAAGTTATAAAACAAACACAAAAAATCAGTTGGCATTGATCCTCCTGTAAAAAAAATGTGAAATATTAGTTTCATTCAATTCTAAGACACTGGCTGCCATTTCAAGAATGTTCTAGATGGCGTGGCAACCCCTTCTCTACCTCACTTGTCAAGTAAATCAGGGCATATGTAGAGAGTAGGCTGCCACCTTCCTGGTGCCCACATCCCAACGGCCTCACCAGTACTGGACAATATTGCTTATGATAGGCATGTATAACTGGTTAGGCAATTAGTGTGGTTCTTTTTTCCCTCTTTAAGATTGGAGCCCTTCTCATCAGATCTAACTAGTTATTTTGTCTCATTTTCAATCCTTGGGTCGAATCAATAATAATAGTCTACACATTACTCTTTCTCTAAGGTAGCAGAAGTAAATGCCAAGAAACATGAGCAGCTCTTGGGAGTCAGGTTTCCATCTGCATCGTTTCTCTACTTCCTACCTGTTCCTCACAGCATTTCTCTCTATCCAGAGGTGTCTGCAGGAAGGGATGGGGCAGGTTGTCAGCTTTGATTGGAATACAGGGCTCACAAGAGCAGGATCAGGGTTGTAAGCCATAGACAGTATTGCCCGTTTCACAAAGAGGACACACACTACACCCATCGCGTGAACATCTGTGGTTGGTCACAAGGTAAGGGGATCCCCGTGGAAATGTCCTCATTCCTTCAGCAGTGAAGGAACCTCAAGCCTCCAGGGATAGAGTGGTCACATCCTGTCATAAATGCATGACCCAGAATTCTGTTCTCTGTCCCAGCCAGGGCAGCAAGGCTTTGGGTTGCCCTGGGCATCTTCTTTACCTAATATAATCTATTTGTTAGTTACATGTAAAGTATCAAAACCAGTCTTGTTGCATCCCTTAGGTTTGTGGCCATAAGCACCTGAATTCATGATTTGTTCCCTGTGAGATAACAAATCGTCCTGTTTTCCCCTGCAGGAACATTAGCATTGAACTTTCTTCCTTAATCAATACAATCCATTAAGAATCTAGCTTACCCTACATGGTTATATGAAATATTAATTACACACTGCTAGTTAGATAAATGAAGACTCTGCCAGAATGATAGCTTGTTTCTTTCCTTGTATTATAATATCTTAAAGGAGAACATTTTGAGTTCTAGGGTGCATGGAATTTTGGAATTCGTTTATTAAATCTTGCTTATTTGAGTAATTAACTCCATAACTCCTGGTTCCTAAAAGATATTTCTAACTGGGACTGCTGAGTTTTTTTTCCTCTTGCTGATTCTGGATAGAGTTCATTTACTTTTTAAAGGATCCAGTTGGAAATAATTTCTTTGATATTCCTTTGATGTTTTCAAAGATGAGAAAAAATTATTTGGCTTTTTAAATGCCACTCGGCTACAGGTAGAAAGCAGTGGAGCTTGTAGGAAGGCCAACGAGACTTAATTATTGTCTGACTGATCCGCCTCATTCTTAGATGTCCAGGAAGACTTCTAGGAGGTAGGCTTTTAATTCTCTCTTTGTACCAAATTTACAGAGTGAACCATCTTACGTCTTGAGCGTGGTTAAAAATTGGGTCAAGTTATCTACGCATAGGATTGGTAGCTCTTAGGATAGTCTCTGGGAAGTTGTATGGGTCCAGCTGTACTGTGGTATCTTTTTTATGTTTTATCACTCCACAGCTGGATAAGCCTATTCCTAATGTGTTGCCTCTCCCTGCTTCCAACCAGGTAATTAACTTATAGATAAATGTATGTGGTTGTCCACTCATGCAACTAGGTGGTCAAACCAAGTACTAAAATTGAAACCAAACTTTCAGAAAAGTTGTATTTGAAACCCATTTCTGCTGCTCATTTGAGTGTATTACAACCAAATCTCTCTCATGGATTCAGTCTATCAAGGATTCCTAGGTCTGGCTCTTGATTTTTCTTAAGTGTAAGCAAACAAAATACAAGAATTGGTAACTTGAGCCTTATCATCATTAAAACATTCTGCTCATCTTAAGACACTCTTAAGAAAAGTTTAAAAATGGACAAGCGACTTGAACAGACCCTATTAATATTAGTAGTTATCAGGGAAATGTGAATGAAAACCATTGGAATGGTGGAAATCCAAAACAACTGACAATAATGGTTGTCCAAAAGGATGTGGAGAAACCAGCATTCTCGTGTTTGTCTGGTGTGGGTATAAATGCCTTGGAAAAACATGGTCAGTTTCATATAAATGTGAACACATTTGCTCTATGACCCGGCAGTTCCAGTCCTTGGTATTTGCCCGAGAGGAGAAAATGCACATTCACTGAAAGATTCGCACACAGGAGCAGCAGGCTCTCGCCATTGCTGGCCTTGAAGAAGCGAAGTGCCAAGAGATCAACGCCTTCAAGGAAATGAGTTCTGCCCTGTGAGCCTGGGAGGAGACCCTGGGCAGAGGCCCAGCTGCCTTGGGGAAGCTCTGAGATAATAAATGGGTGTGTTCTTAAGGTGCTTAAAAAAAAAAGATTTGTGCACATATGTTCATATCAGTTTTATTCATAGCAGTCAAACACTAGACACAACCCAGGTGGCCATCAATAAGAGAATGGACAAATGTGGGACATTCAGACAGTAGAATCCTGTTTAGCAATTTAAAAACACACACACACCAAAAATTATTGATGCTTGTAACAACATGGGTGCATCTCAGAGACAGGTATGCAAAGAGGAGCCAGACAGAAAACAAGCCTATTGTTTGATCCCATTAATATGAAGTTCAAAATAGGGACAATTAGTATATCCTAATAGAAAGCAGAACGTGGTTGATGGGGACAGAGGGGTCTTGACTGGAAAGGGGCATAAGCAAGCTTTCTGCGGTGTTGGGACTATTTGTTTCCTGGGTAACAGTTACACAGGTATATATCATTTTTACTACAATACAAGCACTTAAGTTTGTGTGTTTTTTAAATATTAATTATACTTAAAACACCCTGAATTTATTGTTAATTTTAACTAGGAGAAAATGCCCCAAATATTGGGACTACCCAACTCCTAACTGTCCTAGGTAAAATAAGTTTCCTCAGTTTAATCACAGTCTTAAGAAAATTATGACTTCTAATCCTATCCACGATCAGATTTTTCATTAGAATTTGAATCCCTTATCCTAATGTCAGGACTATTCATTCAAGTGTGTTTCATTGCTATAGAAATAGGATTAATCCTTGCTTTATTTCTTTTTTCAAGAATTAGTCTTTTTTTCCTGCCTTATTAAATTAGGTTTGCCTGTTATATTCTTTTTCTCATTAGCCTAAAGTCTTGTAGATAGGCCTGGTTACATTGTGAAAGTTATTTTTGATAAACGGATTTTAAAGGCAGTATTTGTAAATGAAACATGTGCACAGTAACTCTGGGACTTTTTAATGTAATCTTAGGCAGCAGTTTGTACATGCTATGTATTGAATCCTGGCCAAATGCTTGAAAACGTGTAAAAGCTCGCATCTTGGCCCTTCCCTACATGTTGAAACGAAAGCACACATGTTCCCACGTTCCAGTGCCGCCAAGCACACCCAGCTTGCTCACATGGCTGCCGGTGCTGTTTCCCGTGCCTCCTCGTTCGGTGGCCAGCAATTAGATTGCGTGTTCCTTTTGTGAGTGTGTGTGTCTAAATGCTGTGCATCTGCTGCATCCCTTGAAAATGGATAGATGTGCTCTTTAAGGGGAATCCTTGCTCCTGGCTCCTTTCAAAGTCACCCGCCACCCTCTCTGGATGAAGCTGGCGAGAAACACTGTGCAGTGACACATCTGGCTTTGTGCTCCCTTCTCAGTGTGTTAAACGTGCTTTGGAGGTGTCTTATAAGTACAAAGAAGTCAGTTATTTGCCAATTACTGTCTTAACACAAGAAAGACTGAGGGCTGCTGTTGTGCGCTGGGAGTGTGCGTGTGTGTGTGTGTGTGTGTGTGTGTGTGCTGCCCTTTGCTCTCTGTCTTGTTCTCTGTGCTTCTGAGATTCCACAAATATTTATTTGGGAGGCAGATCCTGCTATGGGAACTCTGAAGTCCACCAGCCGCACAGGCATATATCTCAACAAAGCTGCCCATGTGAGGGGCGCATTCAGCGTGGTTTCTGATTGGGATTTTGAGGGTAGTATACACCTGTTTCTGCTTTCAGGATGAAAAATGAGTTGCCAATTACTGTCAACATGTTCAGACATGACACTTCATATGGTAGAAGCTTGCTCAGCCTGCTTTATGCTGGGCCCCCAACTATGAAACCATCGGTTCTGAAAAGGGGGTGTGTTGGCAAGGAGGAGAGGGAAGAAGGGGATCCATCCTCTCTCCGGCCGTGGGAAGGAGGTCACTGCCTCTCACCTCTGTTTCCCGGCAGAGCTCCTGAACAAGATGAAGTGATCAAAGCCGGGTGCCAGCGCATCCTCGCAGTCTCATTACTTTGCAAGCTGCACGCCCAGATGCTGCTGTTCCGCATCAGGCCTCACTGACTTACATTCATAACACCTCCATTACAGCTCGTTTGGTACCACCCGGAATTAACCAGTTCTTCCTTTTTCCTGGTGGTGTTTCTCCAATACAAAAGATGCGAATGGAAAGCTGAGCATAACATTGCTGGGTGTAGAAGGCATCTTGCAGGCATCCCGGTTCGTTGACAAGAAGCAGGAATCAAATGTTTTGTCACCACTTAAATCATTTGTGGTTTTCATTTGGTTGTGTGAGTGTTGGTTTCGCAGTATTTTCGAAGTCTTGGAATTTGAAATACTGGGTTTTGCCCGCAGACCAGTTTCATCGACACCCCGGTCCTGGGAGTTCTTTGCAATTAGTGGACTGACATGTCATTTGTTGGTTTCTTCCACCAGTGAAGAGCTCATTGACATTTATTTCAGAAGGTGTTAATGCGACAACTTTGCTTAGTAGAACTTAATCATCGTCAGTATCAACACAACTATCCATCAAAGGTCTCTGACGCTTCATGCTCTATGAGCACTGGGAGCAGAAATCTGAGTCTGAGTCCCAATCCTCAGTGGCCTTATATTGTGGAGATCATTAGCTCTACTGTGGAGGGTCAGAACCTCATACAAGAATTATAACTTTAATATTTGTTCAAGAAAAATAGTTGAATATCTCACATACGTTCAGGTGGTTTCCATAAACTGAAATACAGAGAGGTGAAGAAAGCATGATGAATATACATAGGAGACAGATTAATACACACGTGACTAAAATGTGGTAAATGCTAATGTAAGGGTGAAAACAAGATGCTGCAGGAATAGGAAGGGGAATCTGGATTGCAGGAAGAGGTGACTGGTGCAGGCTGTCTTCTCACCTAGAGGTTTTGTTAAGGTGAGAAGAAGGAGGATGGTTTTCATGCTGGCAATGGCTGGAATGGACGTGGGCAGTGGTGGGACAGACTCTGAGGCCATCAAGGAAAGTTAGGGTCAGACTTTCAATGCCGTGTCTTGGAAGGCAGAGTTAATAGAGTTGTGAAGATTCAACCACAAGTTCTACCTACTTGGGAATATTTTTTCCCAATTACCCGTTAGATTATCACCATTAGAATTGTCTCTTGAATTGGTCATTGTTCCTAGATGTCTTCTGTCAAATACACAAGCATAATATTTGGCACATATGTATATGTTTGTGTTTATAATATCATCACAATTTGCTATATCATGTTAATTTCTATTCTTATGTTAACACTAGTGGCCCAGTGCACAAAATTCATGCACATTAAAAGGGAATTAATTAGAGGAAATATTTTAAACTGATAAGAACAGATACTACACTTGATCTTAGCCAAATGGCCGAGAAGCAATAGAGGAAATATTTTAATATTGCTATTTGCCCTTTCTCTATAATAGAAGTGTCAGAGATGAAAGAAAATTAGTAAAATATATATGAAAATATTCCTTCTGTCAGTCTGGGGCATGCTGCGCCTCAAAATCACACAAGTCCCAGACCCAGCCGGCCCTACCCCCGTCAAGCCCTGCAGGGAAGGGGGCGCAGCTTCAGGTCCCCTGTCAAGCCCCACTGGGCAGGGGACGCAGCCTCAGCTCCCCCATCAATCCCCACTGGGCGGGGGACATAGCCTCAGCTCCCCTGGCTTGGCACCAGTGAGGGGTGCAGCCCCAGGTCCCCTGTTGCTGGGGCTGTGGCCTCAGGTACCCCGGCCTCAGGTACCCTGGCCTGATGCCGTGGCAGGGGGCACAGCCTCAGGTACCCCAGCACTGCTGCTGGGGCGGAGGGCACGGCCTCAGGTCCCCTGGCCCGGCCTCAGGTCCCCCAGCCCTGGTGCTGGGGTGGGGGGCGCTGCCTCAGGTCCCCCAGCCCTGGCGCGAGGGCGCAACGACCATTTGCATATTAGCTCTTTATTATATAGGATTATTAATATCCATTTGAAAAATGAGCTCATGTTAGCTGACCATTAATTGTCTAGCAGAGAGAATGGGTCATAGAGAAAACAGTAGTTTTGATAAAAGGGTGGGGAGGATCCAGTTCAAGAAAGGTTTGTTTTACGGGATGTTGTCTGGGGGAAATCTTGGGGCATTTTAGCAGAGAAGGAGCCTTAGGTGCTAGAGGAGCGCAGAAAGCTGGCATGCTGGTTGGTCATTTTAGCCCCCTCCCTGCGGTCCATGTCATGGGATCCTCTTTTAATTGAAATGGTATAATATGAACTTTAAAAAATATTCCTAGCCATGAGCTCTTTAAATGGCATCCTAAGAATTCACATGGTACAACATTCTACATGT